CTTACAACAAGGCAACATGCAACCATTTTACATAAGGAAGGAAACACCAGAAATAGGAAACAATAATAATATAATAGCAAAAATATCTCTATTTCAAGAATATGAGACAAAAATCTTGCCAACAAAAACTCAACAAGTTATCGTCTTCTATGTTGCTTTCTTCTTGTTGCTTGGTTTCACAAATGCTGCACTTCAATGGGAGAGACCACTTGAATTTTGAGTAAATTGGAGTAACATCTCCATCGTCTAATAGCTGAACGGAAATGAATATTAGCACATTATCGGGGTGTGTCCTAAAGTTTTGTTAAGGACTGAATAGAAGCTCTTGGTGTAAAAAGATTGGATTCGCAGAGCATGTCCTGGGAATGACTCCATGATGATAAAAATGAGGGATAATGTCACCCGCTGCCCCTTTATTTTTACCAAAATTTCAAAACCATCAGATGTACTTTTTTTGGTCCAAAAATGTGTCTCTATACTTTTTAAAAGTTCACACCTTTGTCCTTCGATGAACCTCCTAATTTTTGTAACAATTGTTACTAACATGGATGAGGGGTGTGCAACAGGAATCACCTGAACCAGGAATCGCTTCAACTGGACTAGATCAATTGGTTCTGAGCATTTTTTAAGAGCACCAATCTGGTTTTCGGTTCCACAAAATTGGAATCAGTGATGGGCAGTCCATTTTTTAATTCTAGGGTGGGAACGGGCCGCCTGGACTGGATTGATCATTTTTTTTTATCTCTTAGAGAGCAGTAGTATGTAAAGTGTAAACCTAATAATAAGCTCTTTCCTATTCACCTCTCAGTGTCTTCCGCTTCCTCTTTCCCTCTCTTTCGCTCTTGGCTCTGCCGCTCCTCACAGTCACCCTCTTTCCCTCTCTTTCCCTTTCGGCTCCTTACACTCGCACTGAAGGAACACATAAACATCTTATCAATGGTTTCTCTTGTTTGCACGTTCCTTTCATCGATTTAAAGCCATTGTAGCCACCAGCTGCCATTCACTAATCCAGAGCTGCCCGAAAACTACTCCGTCCTGCTCTATTTTTTGCTTTAAGTGTATGAAGAGTTCTGCTCCGGCTTGATTCCTTTTTGCCGCTCCGATCCAACTGATTGACACTTCGTGTGTTGTCTCTACTCTTTTACTTTCAAAATGGAGGCCGAGAGCTATGGTGGCGTTTACTTGAAAATTGACTACGTCTAAAGCCTTTTTAATGATCTGAGATTGTAATGCTGCTGGTCGTTATAATATGAAATGTTTGGTTGTTGTACATTGACATCTGAGATCTATGGCCAAGTCGCCCATTACATGTTCGATGATATTCCTGAATGACATTTAAACACACGTCGTTAAAAGAATGGAGTTCAATAATCATTCCTTTTAGTGTTTGATCTTGTATCATTCCGCTCGGGAATCGGACAAGACCGGTTAGTAGTCTAGTTTCGGGACCAACCGGTCCTCCTGATCCGTTTCCCGGTTCTTAAGTGGGACTAGACCGGACCGTGAACCGATCACCCCTGACAAGGATCATCAAAAAGCTAAGTTGGCAACGGAAAAGATAAGTTGGCGACAGAAAAGGCCATGAGGATTAAATGAGTAAAATATTATAAAAAAATCAAATAAAACAATAGGCTAAATAGGAAAATTGAGAACAAATAGAATCTTAGCCCACCAACACCAACGACATCACTCGCCATTGTCTGCGACCAGTCTCGAGCTCGAGCATCCGTGGCCAGGAGCTTGAAACTAAAGCTGCAATGGCTACCGCGAGCTAAAGATATGGTGACCACGGTTACTAGTTTAAACTTGAGCTTTGCATCTCTAAGGGCTGTAAGACTCTAGATCGGGCGTCCACGACCACCAAGACTCTAGATCTAGCAGCCATGGCTGCAAGCTCGAAGCTCCAGCAGCCACGGGTTTCTCAAGCTTGAGCTCAAGTGACGATGACGACAACATATCAAAGCTCGAGTAGCCATGCCTGCGCGCTCGAGATATGGCAACCATGGTCGTGACATGCAATTCACTTAACGACATGCAGTTTGTAATATGAGCATTATATAATTTAGTATGAATTAATCATATAATTGAAAGCAATCTACATAAACATTGATAAAACATTTTTTTTGGATTTTTCCAAAAAATCAATAGGAAATCATTCTAGATTTATATTATGACAAAGATTGACTAACACATAAACATGTACTTAATCCTAATCATGGATGGACTAACATGTATATCCTAAGTTTCTACATGATTTCTAATGTATCAAACATATGGAAACCCCTAAGTTTTTAAAACATGAATAGATGAATGCAATATAAAATGTGCAGCATGCATGAATATTTACTAATAGTGCAAAATCTAACAAAAGCGCAAACTATCTAATGGAATTGCAATATCAGTTGATAACTTCAAGAATTATATATGCAGCAAGACTCATGAAAATAATGCAATATCACTCAACAATCATCAAATTTATTAAAGATACGTGAAGATTACTAAACTTCAACATTGTGATGCAAAGATAATATTCTTGATTAATCCTAGATGTAAATCACCATATTATATCTTAATTGAGGGTTCGACCTTTTGACTCAAAGGTTGAATGCCCCAACTTATGTCATGTTTGTTGCAATGTATATATCAAAGGAAATCAAAATAACCTAAGGTTCAACAACTATAGGTTATGTGACAAATCATAACACAAAATTATATCTAACCCATTATTCATACAATTAGTAATCTTACCTTGATTAGGACTAAGGACAGCAAGGGAGCGTCACGGTGAGGAGGGGTGGTAGCAGCACTGGTGGAATGCTGGTGAGCAAAATGGAGGCAGCAGGGATGGACAAGTTTCACCAATGAAAGACAGTTGCTGGGAAATGGCTGGGGACGAAACTGGGGAATGGTAGGACACGGCAGAGGGCTGATGGTGGGGTCGGAACAACTTGGGTTGCCGGAGTAGCCGCGGAGTGTGATAGGGCACCGAGGGAGGTGCGGCGGCCCCGGAGCTAAGCTGGCGAGTTGCTGGACGTTGGAGGACTCCCTAGGATGCGGCTGAGCTGTTGGAGGAGGGCGGTGGTCGTCGAAGCTGGGAGGATCACCGGGAGGCCGCGGGCACACAAACCAAGAAGAGAGAGAGCTTCACTGCGAAGAAAATTTCAAAGCTTCTTGGAGAGCTCTGAATGAGAATGTTGTCTATTCTGAATGACTGATGGAGGGGCCTATTTATAGCCTCCGAAGGCCGACTCAAACTTGGAACAGAGAATTTGATAAAAAAAAAATGGAGGAAATCTTCCAATTATCTTTAATTCGTGTGATATCGGATGAACGGTTGAGATCAAGATTAGTTTAGGATGAACGGTGGGGATTGGATATGGTGGTCGGCCAAATCAGAGGAATAAGATTGCAATTTGATCCAATGGTGTGTGTGGATCGAGAGAAATTGGCAACAAAAGGCAATGGTGGGACTTGGATGGACATGCGACGGTCGGCGATAACTTCTGCAAAAAGGCAATGTGATTTGTATGTGAGGGCAACATGTGCGCGTCACATGACTTGAGGCATGTGTTCGTGGCACATGACCTCTCTTGCTATGTGCATCATTGAGCGTGCGAGGGTCCATGGAGATGGTCGAATGGCCATGTGGACTGCATGTGGTCTTGGCTTGTACAAAGCATGTGAGTATGGGTCATGTGAGATGCACATTTGGTCGTGACCCTAGAGGATGTGGCCGTGATTTTAGGGTATCCATCTTAGAATCACCACTTGGGTTAACTTTTGGGACCGTAGGATTCCCACATTATTGGAAAGCAAGTTCCTGAGCTCAACGAGCTAGTTTCGAGCTCCCATAATGTTGGAAATTTGATTTAGCTCGCCTTACTTTTCAGGTCAAATCCTGACTTTCTCTCCTTTTTTTATCATGATTTTCGGCTTTGAGCTCCAAAAATGTTGGAATGTCAAATTCCAACCTTTTTATCCACTTAAATCGTGAATTTTTCTCCAGGCTACTCACCGAGTTCACCTTTGGCTCCCCGTAACAAAAGTTAGCATTAAAATGCAACCTAGAATCTAGATGCTATGCAAATTTAAATGATAATTTTGTTTAGGGTCAAGATTGATCCTTAATTTTCTGATGCCGTTGATGATGAGATAGGTTAGTCAAAATTTAGGTATCAAAACCCATTGTCAATATTCAGTCAATTCTCTTAACCGTTGGAAAAGACAAATGAGTGCCCATAAATGGAATGGAGATTTGATAGCATGTTGACATGAATATTTTTTGCCAGTTAGTGGAGCCGATAACTTAGGGATGTGTAATTGCTTATTAGATAAGTGTTGCTGGATAATTGGGTGTGCGTAAATCCTTAGTAGCTATTTGTAAATAACTGTCGATCGTGGACTATATATAAATTCACATTGTACTCATTTTGAAGATTTGCTCAATTAACCACACAACGCTTCTTGTTCTTTACATTCTAAAAATCCTTTATTTCCAATATTATTTACATTGCTGGTAACAATGTTGCGGGAAAATCATTAAAACAGTCACAAACCTATTGCAATTGTATTAAATCAGTTTTAAACTTTTTTTTGGCCAATTGAGTCTTAAATCTTTTGCTTTTGTGCCGATTTAATCATTCTGGCCAATTTTGGCCGGTCGGCGCTGACATGGATGCCGGCTGTTCCACGTGGTGCGGCTGGCGCTGACGTAGATAATTTTTAATAATGTTTTAATATTTTTATGAATTTCTTTTTATTTCTTTCTTTCCCTTTCTTTTTTTTTTTCCTCTCTTCGTCTTCAACCTCTAGCTAGTCGCCGGAACTGGGACATCGAGCTAAGAAACGAAACAACAAAATAGAAAACGAAAAGAAAAACGAGAACGAATGTTGATTTTTCACCCGTGATGGGCCGGAAAAAAAAGGAAAAAGCCCAGTGTCCAGAGCTTCCGACCAGGGCTCGTGGACTTCTCAAAGAACAGTGCTTCCGACCGAATCACGTGCGGTTCGCCCATCCAGACCAGACCAGACCCCTTTGCAAGGAAAGGAGAGAAAGATGACTGCTTCAAACTCTCTCCTGCGCTTTGGGATGGCTTGTCGACTGAGATCTGCCTTCTGGAAGATGAACCCGTCCGCTCGCGAGTGAAGATACTCCGTAGAAATTCGCTCTCAGGTGCCGTAGATCTCTCTTTCTCTGTCTCTTTCTCTTGCATTCCTTGCTTATTTCTGCATCTTGAATTCTGCCCATTTGAGAGGAACAAATTGCTCACACGGCATCGCACCCAGTTGTGGGTTTTGTTTGGATTTCGGTTGCTCGCCCTTGACTTTACGAACTGGGCTAAATCACTATGCAAAATCTCGTGATGTTCTTGGCATGCCACTGTCCATTGTGGTCCTGTTGGTTGCTTCATTTTTATCGTGTTCTGCGGTCAGCTCATCGTTATCTGATGAGGGCAGTTGATGGGTCATCGACGAATCCACCGTATTTAGCTGTGCGAAATCAGTGGAACGTTGCTGCGGGAAGTGACTGGTTACTGTTAGGATCTTTTTAGGAAGGTTTGATTGATTCGTACTTACAAAAGAAAGGGTGGTTGGATCATATAGTATGTAGTAGAGGAAAATTCTATGGGTGCGTATCATGTTTATCTGTGCAAGCAATGGGCATTTGTTTAGAATAATGAAATTCGGCGTGTGAATTGTCCAGGTTCTAATGGGCGAGACAGATAAAGAGACGAGTAACACGGCTTCCCCTGACAGCGGAAGACGTAGCGGGCTAAAGGTTCTTGATCCTGCGATTTCTAGATTCTTCGGGCAGCTTCCTCAGAAGCTTGGGAATGGCTTCAAGGTAATTCAATTTATCTTGATGAGTCATGACACTTACGGAGTTATCAATGTCAATGCAAAATTCATGTAACTTTATCTTTCTTTTCCTGCAATAGTCACCACTTAAAATGTTTAGAAGGGAAATTGAAAGACCGAAATCCGGAAGCTCTTCTTTGAGGAACTCGAGAGAATCCTTGACTGATTTTGAGGTCAATCTGGAGAAGCAACTGCAAGCATGGAATGAAAATCCCGTATGGGTGGATCAAGCTCCAGAAATAAAGGTGAGGGACTTGTCGAGAAATATGATCGATGGATGTGTTTAGTCACAAGCAAACACTTGGATTGTTTCGCTCGAGCATGCCAAAGATCTCTACAATATAACAGAATGAACCGGCCTGAATTAGAACTTTGATATAAGTCCTGTTTCTGTATGTGACTTAGTAAATAAAATTTGAGAAAACAAATAAGTTTGTCGCTGTTATCTTTTGACATAATTCGAGCTTTTTGTCGTGTGTTTCTCTTACTTTGTATGGCTTCAATAGAATGCCACTGTTTATGCCTCTTTCCTTGTTACTTGGAGCTCGCCTAACTGATTCTCGTTGACATCAGGGGAGTGTATATAAAGGTGAATACATGACATGTGAAATAATCTTAATTACTTAAAATAAAGATAAGTCCCGACTGTTTATGCTAGTCCATGTAAATTTCCAGTTGGGGCTTGTAAAATTAGAACAACGACATGTAGTATGACATGCATAGATTGTAATTGGCATTCTCGGCTTGCTGTCCTGGTGCTCTAGTGGAACCAAAACCTAGAAAAGCGGCAATCTGGTAACTTGGTTTTATTACATAGAAGTTAGATGCTTTTGTTGGTGACTTGTTACTTTTTAAGGGCCTTGCTCATCATATGACTTGAAGATTTGGAGTCTAATGTTAGTCTTGGCAGGTGAGCGTGCCAAAAGGATCTCTTTGCAACCTCAACGTAAAAGTCCATGTGGGGTTGCCTCCAGATGCTGTGTATAACATTGTGATTGATCCTGATAATAAGAGGGTTTTCAAGAATATTAAGGTATCTTCCTTTTCCACCATTTCTTCTATACTTCAGCTAGTAATTCATAAAGCATCAAATAATTGTTTTCTGATTAATCCACTGCAATTTCTTTTCCCCCTCGCAACTCATTCTTGTTCATTTTGGCAATCTTGTATTTAAAGAGGAGAACTTGTTAGGAGAATTTTGAAATTTGATTTTCTCTTAGGAAGTCATATCCAGAACGGTTTTGGTCAATGAAGGTTTAAGACAAGTTGTTGAATTGGAGCAAGCGGCCCTGTGGAAGTTCCTTTGGTGGTCAGGGACCATTTCAGTACATGTTTTGGTGGATCAAAATAGAGCAGATCACTCGGTAAGACGTTGCTCTTGTTGCAGATTATACGTACCTTTTCTTTATCCGGATTGCCATTAGCAGAATTCCCGGGCCTCTCCATTCCCTCTAACTAGGAGAAATATGGTATTTGTGTTAATCCTACGATAATCTTGGGTAAACTATGCAACTCTTTTCAGATGAAGTTCAAGCAAGTAAAAACAGGGTTCATGAAAAGATTTGAAGGATGCTGGAGAGTAGAACCTTATTTTGTCGACGAGAAAATCTGCTACCCCTTCAAGCCTAAGACATGGGAAGACTATCAATCATGTACTGGAGGAAAAGGAAGGATCGGATCAAGAGTGAGCTTGGACCAGCTGATCCAACCATCTCTAGTCCCTCCTCCGCCCATATCTTGGTATCTGAGGGGAATCACTGCCAGGACCACTGAGATGCTGATAACTGATTTGCTTGCTGAAACCGCAAGAATCAGAGATGGCCTTAATCCCGCGAAATCGGGTAATGACCATGAGTCGTCTGACAAAATGCACGATAAGCAACTCGAGGAAACGGGTGATATCAAAGAGCGATGGGCCTTGCGGAGGAGATTGATGAAGCGAAGAGATAGAAGGGTGCTATCTGGGCAATGATGCTGAGGAGATTAGTTTTGTATCTGTCGACAAGAATCGATTCTCTGTATTAAATGCTGTCTTTGCTCAGACTACATCATCTCTACTTAAATCTTTCCGACAACGCTGTTTCTCCACGGCGCTCTGGCCATCGACACCGCTGAAACTATTCGAAGAAAATATATCATGTATGCAGTTGGTTAGCATGAATCTTGTTGAGTAGACAACTTCCTCTGAAAATGCTTCTATGATTGGAAGGCATGTTCGAAACCCCACCAAACGCAGACTATTGTCGGATTGCAGGAATCGAAAGCTCGGCACTCCATTTTAACTAAGGTTATAAAACCCACAATCCCCCCCATAACATGTCGTTGCTCCACAGACACATCTTCATTTTGGGTGAAATTTTACCCTGATCCGGTCACACGATCGGATTTATCTTAGACGTTGATCATATAGTGTCACATGGAGTTCACATGACCGACCACTGAAATAGACCCGACTAAGTGGATTTGGGTCTAGGTAATTTTTCTTTTCCTACTTCTTTTAGTACTCGTTCTTTGTCGAGTGATACCAAAATAAATGAGACATTATCATTTTTATCGATGGTGTTCCAAATGATACACAAGCAAAATCTTATCTATGGCGGCATGTGTCAATCTGCTAAACCATATTTGAATGAATCATCTTATAGTTTAGGAAGCATACTACTTCAAGAAAATTTCCTAAAACAATTTAGGGATAAGTGTACTAGAAATTCTAAAACTTATCACGAAAGTGCAATTAAGTCCTACAATTTTTAAAAAGTACAATCAAGTCTTAAAACTTATCAAATTGATTCAATCAAATCTTTTCGTTAACTCTCACTAACTAGGCTAATGGAAACTGCCGACGTGTCTTATTTTATTACTTTTTTAAGACGCGTGGTGACGATGTAATGCTCACCAAGCGCCTCGTCGAAAAAATATTCAAAAGATAAAAAAAATAAAAACTAAATAAGATTAAAAAAATAAAAAAAGCTAAAAGTTAAAAAAATACAAACTGCAAACGAAAAAACACATTAACTCATGTCATAGGCCCTTGCCAATGGCTGCCACCGCCGGGAAGAGCTGACAAAAGTCACCAGAGCCTGGCCAATGGCCAGCTACCCTCGGCAGCCCTCGATGCTGAAGCAAGGGTCTTGCCCTCCCCTAGATTCAGGCGAGCAGGCTTTCGTCGAGCTTTGGCAAGGCCTAGGTGACCTCCGCTGGCTCTTCCTAATAGCAGAGATGACAGCCATTGACGAGGGCTTGTTCCTTTTTTTTTTATATTATTTTTACTTGGTTTTTAGGAAAAAAAATTTCATCTAGATCCTAATATGTCACACAATTGAAACCCCATTGAATTAGGTCATTACTTTTATTACTGGCAATTAAGTGAAGATAATAACATATCAAGAATGTTAATAGTTTACGAGCGAAGATTATCATGGAGCAATAAAATAAGGAAGAGCATTACTAATAGCTAGACATGATACACGTTGTTTAAATGTAAACGGTGATGAATAAATATTTATAATTAAACGTCACCAAATATTGCGTCTAATTAGAAACCTTCCAAGTAAATTAAAAAAAAAACAAGCTAAATGATTTTATTTTTTATTTAAATGAAGAATAATAATAATAAACGCAAAAATTAGCACGTTCCGTTGTTTAGGCGCTCTTTTCTCCTCTCCGCGCGTAGGAGGAGCTGCAGTCTCTCCGGCTCCGGCGATGGGCTCCGTCCGTACGATTCCCGACCTCTGCCGCCGGGTTAGTTCCCTCCCGCCGGTTCTCTCCGGCGGTCGCCGGCGAAGGACCTGCCATTCCTCTCCTCCGGCCTTCGCCTTTTGGTCCCTCCGCGTTCGCCTCCTCTGACTCGCGTTTCCTCTCCTCCTTTTTCCCTCCGCCGCAGCTGATTTCGTTCGCTTTCCGGAGGTGCCGCGCCTCCGATGACCTGTGCCGCGTCTCCGTCGCTCTCGCCGGCTCTCCCGTCGTCCGAATCTCCGGTACGTCGCTGCCTCCTTTTGTTCCCGCGCTTCGCCGTTTCGGTTTTTTTTTTTTTCCGGGGGTCTGTTTTTCCCCGGAATTCGATCGGCGGCGTGCTCGAAAGCTCACCGGGCGGTGAGATGTTTCTGGCCCTAGGATGTGACTGGAATGAGACCCTGGATACATACGCAGTGTTGTGGCGCGTTGTTTGAGCCTGGATGTAGCTGTGCAATGTGTGAAAATGGAAGTGTCATTTTCGACAGTTTCGAGTAGATAAAATGGTTTAATGATTGCGAAGAGACGTGACGCGATTCTCTGTTTGGCCTTATTTGGAATCAGTTTCGGACACGGGCGCTGCTAGCTGCTTGGAAGAGTTTCAGGACTTGAGAGTCACAGATGAAGTGATTTTCGCCGAAAAGTGGGGTAAGGAGTGTGGCGATGTTTCGGGTTTATGTGCCAGATTGGAAGAAATGACACCATCCGGCTTGCTCTGCTCTCTACTGAAGATATGAGCAAGCCCCCTCTCTTCCTTAAATGAATGCTGTTTGAATTCGAGGATTTTAACAATGTGCACTATGTTAGTTACGAGCCGTCTTTGAACAATGCAGATGGAACGCTTTCTGTGCGAACCACTGGTAATTTCCTGTCTCGATGGAACTCTCGAAAATTGTGCTTTCCCCTGTATGAGAAGTATGGATTTGCAGAAGTTATGTACACTCAAATGAGGTTGACTTAAATAATACTGCACATGAAATTTATGAAAAGAAGACCTAGATGTCATTTTATGTATTGGTTTCAGTTCTTTTCATTCTTTTACAATGGTTTGTAGTTGAGGATGCATTGCCTGGTCAACTTTTTATACGTTAACAATTGAAATCCCTCTCATCAAAAAAAAAAAAAAGACCTAGAAGATGATGTGCCATTCTTCCATTGAAATGTCATTCCTTTTCTATGTTATTTACTTAACCATTGTAAAATGGAAGGCCATCACTATGAAGTATCGGTGTTTTTACTTATGGTTGAGTATGCTGCAGGTGCTTCTGATGAGGAGGTAAATTATTATAACTTGAATCTAAAAGAAGGTAGCTCGAATGGTTGGCTAACTCGGCTCCATTCAATCGCTAAAAATGGCATGAGATTCAGGCATGCAATAGTATACGCACTTGTAGTATTATACTACATCTAGCGTTCTTACCCATTAAAGTTATAATGCTGAGACTTTTTTTGGTATTTCTTTCTCAGTGGGACTGAAGTGTGTCTATCTGTCTCTGAGAAATTTGAAGTTCTTCCGGGTGAGATCAAGCAATTCGTCGAGAAGGTGTATTGTGCTCCATAGAAGTTCTAGTTCTTTTACTTGTGGATCATCCAATTTGTCTATAAAAAAATATTACGTGTCTTGAAGGTATAGTAGGATTCAGTCATCTTGTGAAATAAAGATTTGCATATTATTCAGATTCTTTGAAACCTAAGGCTAAATAACTAGAGATGCTGTTATAGGAAAGTATCATATAACCACAAATACATGTGTTAAAAACACAAGAGGATCAGAGTTCACCTTATCGGATCTATATATCAATGGATCTTATTGATCCACTCATGCTTTTGTGATGTCTGAACAACAAAGTTACTCACCAGCTTCTTGGCACTACTCTTGCCAAGTCTTTTGTCATTAGCTATCCTGTAATGAAAAGATATTACTAAGAATATTTGTATCTTTGTGCAAGGTAAGCTACTGTTACTTCATTCTGTCACATACATTCCTTCTGCGCCTCTTCCTTTCAAAGTTGGTTAATTAAATATCCTCTCTGTCTAATCATTTTTATCTTGGTTTTTTGCAGATGCTGATTTTGAACATCCCAGTTAGTCCAAATACTCTATTTCTTAAGTATCTAGTTCTTTAATTTTTCCGTAAATATTGTTTTTGCTTCTCTTTTTAATTTGCAAAACTGATCAAAAGAAGTTTGATCAATTCTTCTTTAGTTATTTGTGATAATTTCAGGGTTTGAAAGCAGAGTAGCTTGCACACCTTATTTCATACAACTTATTTCATACAGGCAGTGACCACTCTAAAGAAATAATAAGTCCTAGGAGAAGTATCATCTTATGTTTCTAATGATAATTTGTACATTCCTCACTTTGTGATGGCATATCTATACTGGGTTGTTTACAATATTTAGCATTAGGTCTTACGGTCCTGGTATCCTTATGCAGAATATTGCGTTTGAACTGGTGGTCCAACATGAGAATGTTTATAAATCATGCTATGGAGATGCTTTCCTGCCAAGTAAAAGCATGCCTTCACCCTTTTCAGCTTCAAATGTAGAACGTTTGAAGTATGGCTTTGAGGATTATATTTTAAAGCGCTGCAACAATCTTAGTAACGACCTTGGTTTATCATTGAATGCCATGTAAGTTACATGCAAAGATGATGCAGATTCCTGTTGTTTCCAGTAGCTAGCTTTGATGGCTTGGCTGGCTAGGGAAAAATAGCTACTTTACCTATCGAAGTTTTCCAGCTATAAAAATTGATGTTAATGCTGAATTGCAAATAATAGTGGAAATCATCTGCTGTCATGTCTTGCATGTTCTCTTATGCAAGGTAGCACTGGATTTGGGTCTGTAGTGCATTGCTGTATTACAGGCCTGTGATAAGACATCTATGAGTGGCATAACTTTGCGCTATCATGTGGTCATTTGACCAATATATTTGGAGGAAATAAATTATTAGTTCATTCAACGTGTTTCTCTAGACTGCTGTGTCAATGAATGCCACTGTTAATGAAATTTTCACTTGACAGCTCACTTAAAAGCATTTTGCTTGGTGCTCTTTCCACATGAATTTGAAAGGTTATATGCTGCCCTTCTATTGCATCCAGTGGAGTAGTAGATGGAACTAAGTAGAGGATGCATGTTCTTTTTATCAATGGCATTTACTGTTTTTGAAGAATCTCGACAGCTTATTCCACTGCCTGAGTAACAATAGTTGAATCCAGTTAGCAGCCGTATCCAACTGTTTAAGTCATAAACAAGAGGTTTCAGCATCTTTTGAAATTTTTTCAATGTTTGTCTACATCTTCAAGGGAGCATTTGAGGACTGGAATGGGAACTATATGCAGCTCAAAATTTTCTGGAAGACAAAATCTGGGATTAACGGTAGATGCAGTAATCATCATAAGCGAGTTTTCTGATGAAACAAGTCCTTGTTCGAGGGAATGTGGTCGCCAGACAGAGGTTTTTCTAGAAGCATTTTCTTCTAATGTATTAATCATCAATCCAACAGTTTTTGGCAGAAGACCATTTTGCTATTCTTCTTTCATGCACATTCTCAGAGAAGGCTATGATTTAATTCAGGATTCTTGTGCAGAAACATTTCATTGTGATATTCCCTGCTACTTTTGTCATTCCTCGGGCTTGCACACTAAATAATCAAACTGGCTTCCTTAAATTCCCTAATCTAAGCTAGAATTAGTGTGCAACTTTAGAGTGATGCATGGAAATGGTACCGGCACCGCATCTTTAGTTTAGTATGCCATATGACAAATTTTCTGTTCTTTGCATGTGACTGTGGTCAAGAATGTATTAACTGATTCTAAGCTAATACCTAGAACTATTAGTTGCACATTGTTGATGTTGACATTATCAGCTGAGATTTTCTGATGGCTTAGTGAGAGAAATCAATTGATTGTTGTCATTGTCCACACACTTTAAGTATAGAACCTCTGTATATTTTTCCGTAGTTATGTTCTGAACCAGAAATATTAATGCATGGCTGTGTAAGCTCGACACTAAGGGATGCTTGCTTTCCTAATAAACTACATTTGGATTGTTACTAGACAAGAGCATTAGTCATGGTTTATTTATTCACAATGAACCATCACAGAGCGACTGTGGTTAAAAACGTCTGTCATGCTTCATTTTTGTCTCACTATTGTCGAACCTGATTTCCAGTATAAAGTGTGCCTTTTTCTTCCAGGTTTTGTATTTCAAGGATTTCTCACCTTCCCCGATTTCCAAGTCATCTCTTAATGCATTGAAGAGCATTGATTGGAAAAGTTATGGTTTGACACTCGGCAACATCATGGATCAAGGAGGTGGTGCCTCTCTAGAATGGGAAAACCTGCCACCACATGCTCATGTTGATGTTATCTTCCATTGCTATCAAGCAGAATATCCGATTCTATTAAGTAATTTATTTCTATAGTAAACCATAAGTTGCTACATCATATACTTTGTCACAGTCCTTGACTTATTGGTAAGGTTGACTTCCCTCCTTCGAAGCAAAAGGTCTTGTCTGAAAGATCTCTTTTGAAGAAAGCAGCTAAACTAGCATTGGATGACATGAAGGAGAAACATTCGGGAATTCTTCTAAGTGATCGAGCCCTGAAGGTAAATCTCTCTCTCTCTCTCTCTCTCTCTCTCTCTCTCTCTCTCTCTCTCTCTATGTGGCGAATGCACGTGCCCACTCTAGATGCATGAGATGGTTGAATTCGTTGAAGCATCATGGTTTCGAAAGAAAATATTCTTCCTAGGTCCAACAACTAATGCTCATATAGTCAGCTAATGGACAGATGCAAGATTCAGTACATTCACAAGTTTAGTTTCATATATTTTAGAAATATTCAAAAGTTGAATACTTTCAATATAATTCACCACTTGGCCAATCTAATCAATATTATTCATCACATGGCCAATTTAAAAATTCCATCTGCCTATGTATGTATTCGTGATGAACAATTAAGCATTGTCACAAGGAAGACTGAAGTCGTGCTGAGCACCATTTTTTTGGTGTTGTATCTGCAGATACAAAGTCATGCCCCTGATCTTGCAAGAACACTTGCTGGTCTTATTTTGTCCTCCAATGACATGGAATTCCAAGGAGAATGTCTCTCTCTTCTTGGTTTGCAGACCGGAGTTGGAGCGGAGGTAGTTGAAGAATGTGTCATGGACAAGATTAATGCAGTTATAGAGCTGAATGACAGGAAACCTGAGAGATGCAAAGAGGCTGTTCCTTTTCTTTTCGAAGATGATATTCTTCAGGGAATGGACTTCGAAGATGAATGTGAAGAAGGTGAGGACTCCTATGACTCTTTAGATATGTAATAATACCAAGTATATCACACTCCATAGAATGTGGCCCAGATCGGTAGACTCCTAGCTGGGTTTTACCTCTTGATGATGACCACAGGGGCTATGATGCATATGTGCCAATCCATTTAGAGGCAAACACTTGCTCATTAGTTAAATATGACCTTGTGTCAGCTGAAGCAGCTGGACAACGAAAGTTGTTATGCTTTTGAAATTTTATAGAGCTTCCTATATAGTCTGAAATTTTAGGTAGACTATTGAAGGAGAAGATTTGCTTTTTCCCACTGTAATAACCGGTAACAAACTGCCATACCGGTTCACCCCAAAACAGAGGCTGGAAGTAGAGAAGATATGAGCCTATAAATTCTAATCATAGAGGGACCATTCAAATATTCTCTCCAGGTGCTACAGTCTAAAACAGGTCCTGTCTACACTAGATAATCACATGATGGTGCAGGTTCTACCACAGCTTGCAGTGTCTTGAGCTCCTCCTTCCACGTGATTATAGCAAACTACAAACCAAAGCAATGAAGGTGAAATACTTGTCCAGACTTAGTCGATGTCGATAGATACTTTTTCAGTGTTAGGTTATCGCTGAAAAGGATGCATAAATAGGCAGTTGGTTGTGAATTTGCCACGTAATACTGATAATTTGTGGTTAGTCGATTCACGCCGGGAAGGTTATCTTTGCTTGATTCTCACGGTAGCAAGTTGAGAAATTTTCGGAAACGCAAATGTATGTTAGGATCAATCCTTCTGCAACAGAGTCCCATATATAAACTAGACCATGTCTATATAAGCACTACGTATTCATCATAACTTTTTAGATAACAAGGAAAGGCCAAGATGCCATAGAAAACTAGTTACGGGGTCAAAGCTGGAAGAGGGGGGAAAGGATTGAATACCAACTAATTTAAACACTCTTCAAAAGACTTCTCTTAGCTTCAACCGGCAGAGGCTGCAGGAACATAAAGGAAATAGCGGGGTCAGGCATAGAAGCCATGATAGATGCCCTCGTTACTGTCTGATCTTCGGCTTGGACGATTGAATACTAACTAATTTAAACACTCTTCAAAGGACCTCTCTAGCTTCACGCGGCAGTGGGTGCGGGAACATAGGAGATAGCGGGGTCGGGCATAGAAGCCATGATGGATGACCTCGATACCGTCTGATCTTCGGCTTGAACGACGGTTTCTCCTGCCCTCAAGTCCAACGATGCGTCGTTGTAGATATCCCACCATTTGGACACCAGCATCTTGATGTCCTTTCTGTCCATGTTAGTTTCCTTGCCCGTGTACCTCCACGGCTTTGAGCCCTGTTGTCATTGAAAAAAGAAAAGAAAAAGAATTATCACTCGGATGCTATTGTACAATCAAAATCTGAAATTTCCGAAGATCGTCGAGGAGTTGAAAGATGAAACCAATTGGAAGAATCACTTACGGCGGCACAGTAGTGAACCACCTTGACCTTTTCGAGCTCGCCCACATTCTCCGGGTGGCGCCATAACATGGCCAGAACCAAGTTGTACGCCATAGGGATGGGCTTGTAAGTTTTCTGGAAGTACATGTTCAAGAAGTCCTGCCATGTACATGAAGAATTGTGGAAAAAGAAAGTGAGGAAAGAGAGAGTATTCGTTGCCAAATTGAAGGGTGACAAACATTCAAAGTAAGCTTATCTCTAGTTCTTTCAGTGCCCTCAAGTCATATGCTGATCAAATTATCGATTCGAGTTAATCACCTGCTCAGCAAAGGGCGTGGGAGGGGTGATCCTGAGAGTGTGGAGAAGGCTCTCGTAGGTTGAGCGGCTCGGCTCAAACACGAACATGCCGGCGTTGAAGTACAAGGCGGGCAGCGAGCCCATCTCAGCGGGCCACCCGACCTTCTCGGGGCACTGCTGGCAGTACCCGACTGAGTACTGTGGAGAGTGGCTCCACGTCTTCTCGCAGAAGCAGTCCATGACGGCGTAGAAGTAGCCGTCTTCCGTGTCGAGCAGATGGTCGATGTTTTCGTACACTTGAATGTCTGCGTCCAGGTACACCATCTTGCTGTAGTCTAAGAACTGCAGTATGCGGATGATTCGAATCAAAATCACTGAATTCGATCGCACAGTGCGTCAACGTTTCGTGGGATGTAAGGTTTTGACCGCAAGGTCGTCCTGCATGCGTGAAAGGTTGCATGCACGTCCGCCATACATGCAGTGAGACAACCTTGGACAATAGATATGATTCCGATCCTATCCTATTTCAGGCCAACCCCTCGCTCCTATAGCCTAAGGGAGGGGATTTTCGACGAGAAAAACGATTTATTTTCCATGATCCAACCACCTCAGTCAAGAAAATTAAATGAAAAGTGCTAGATATACTAACATAGATTTACGACCGTAATTAGGTATTGAGTACGAACTACTTGTCTAGATACTTGCTTCCAATCAGTCGCATCACTTAATTTATAGAACTTACCCTTCGCTACTCATATGGAACTTATCTAAAGGATTCTTACAAAAGGGTCAAATTCCACCTTGATTACATCTTGCATCCTCAAATTTGCAAAGCTATACTTGATAACCATATATAAGAGTTTTATCTTAATATGATCGTTCTATTTAGATCATCTACTCATTTGTGAATAGAAGCTGCCTAATTCAAAACTGTAAAAATCAAATCACATGAAACTCATGAATTGACTCCGAAATTCAGTTTTTGGTTTAGCATGTTAAAGACGGCAAAGTGAGCAATTCTAGTCACTAGGCAAAGTCCAAGTTGAGAATGCTTTTATTTGACTTTATTTTTTCCCTATGTGAGATCATTTCACTACTACAATTATAACTTGTGAGTTTCGTTGTACTCACATTCCATATACGAAGCTTGGAGTAGTTGATCACATAGTAAGCCATGGCAAACTGGACATGGTTCTCGGGAGGGTAGATCGGCTCTATCTCGTGGATGATACACCCTTGAGACCTCAATATATCACGGTGCTCCTCCGGCACATCTGGCAGCACCGCCACCACTAGCGGATATGCGCTCTTCACCTTGCGCAACCCTTTCGCCAATCCCACCACCCCTTTCACATAATCGCCGCTCCCTGCCAAAAAAGTCACGTACCCCCTTCTCGAATACCCTCCATCAACCAAACATGCCTTCCCGGCACCGGTGAACACATCGACGGGCACTTCCGGGGCCATTAAGGTGGTTGTTAAGCAGGGTTTTTGGCTTTTTTTGTATTCTTTCCTTCTCTCTTTTTTGGGCTGATGGGAGGCTAAAGCGAGATTGGTGTTTTAGGTGAGGAGTGTGGGGAAAGTAAAACTAGCAAACTTAACGATTGCCACCCTACTAACCTTCGTTCCTGAGTGTGAGGAGCAAACCCTGGACTCCTTAAAAAGACCTGAAATGAGACGTAAATGCATGTGAGATTGAGGCTCAAATGAAAATCAAATTGAGCAAACAAAGCAGTGTCTTTTTCAGTATATGAAAATAATCACTTTTTTTTTGCTGTTCCGAAGTCTCCTCTGCCTTGGGGTCGGATTCTTTTAATAGATAGAAACCGTGGAAAATCAAACAAGGAGAGAAAAACGAATGAACATAGTTCATTCTTCTTTCTCACCGTCCATCTAGGCCTTATCACCAGAATAAAGGGATAAGATTAAAGGGTGTTAAGGTCACCATCTGTCCGAAATTGATGTGGAAACTAATTCCCATCTGTCATTTTTTTTATGAGGGCAAGAATATAGATAGAGTAAATATGAAGAAATCGATTTTTATTTGCTTTCTTTTCTGCTTGTTCTTCCTCAGAAAGCCATGCTGTGCTTCGGTATTGAGCAGAATATAGCTTGGATTTCATTGGATATTGCAGGAAATCACGGGGTTCTGACAAAGTAGAATCCGTCTAGCAAACCAAAAATCGGAGAAAACCCTAATGAACCAATCAACATTTGGATCGTACGTAATGTAAGGGTCCATTGGAGAAGTTTCAAAAGTTCTTGGTCAAACGTATGACGATGGAAGTGAGTATTCTCGTGACAGAGGTGGTAACGGACCGGCATCGTCGTAGACTCTCTAGTTACTTTCTTTTACGGTACTTTTCTAAGGTAGGGTTGATGGAGACACACACCCCGTAATTTGAACTGACTCGATCGCCCTTGATTTAGCTATTCAAACCAGTGGATCCACGTGAATAACTTTCCTTAGTTGTATACTTAAATTTACTTTTAAGTGAGAGATAATTTCTGTCCAAAAATGTTTATATCGAGATGGGTTTCTTTCAAGATGTTCAAAACAAGATTTGGATATGTTCCCTTCTTATTTCAAGAGGCGTCATTAGGATATGGATCTCCACTGGATATGACATGTTCTCAACATGTTTTTAGCTCAACTCGCGTCCAAAGAAAGACATCTCAAATTCACTATTATTATCCTTCATTGCATCGGTTCCACCATGCCACTTGACGATTGATTTTTTTGGAGGAATTGATTGATTGGAAGGATTACAATGATTGCGTAAGTCTTGACTTTTGTGGCATGGTTTGTCATGAAGAGGTTAATAATACCATAGTTGATGGGAAGGAGAAGAGGGTTCGGGTGAAAATATTATGCGTTTTTTTAATTGTAAATGTAATAAAAGAATGAGAATTGAAGGGGGATACGACATTATTTTATTTTCACCTATTACATAATGGAGATATGAATTTTCGCCTCTAAAGTTGACGGTAATTGAATCCGTTCAAATGTGAAGGCATGTCTATAGTCATTTAAGATGTGAAAATAGGGCCATTTCATTTTCCTTGACGATAATTTCGTAATATGATATATTATATTTTTATTTCTTGTTTACATGCATGCAGCAAGGACCATCTGAATAACCTAAACAAGTGGCTGCCAAAATCTAAGAATCAAAATTTAATCAAGGCGAAATTCAACATCATAAGTTAGAGGCTTTGCATCATTATAGGACCTTGTGACTAAGAAACGGTATAACATACATGATGACTAACATATTTGGATCGACGAGGAGAATTTCTGCATGACGTGATTGACACCGACGAACACGATATTTGGTGAACAACGAAATCTAAGCAAATTTTTTAGGAACTATAGTCATTTCAAATAAGAAACTTTGATGTGATTTGCAACATCTTGCGGGAGAGAAATCAACCGGCCAATCTGTTGGGTGAATTGGCCAACCGTAAATCGTGAATGTAGTGTTCAACTTTAAGATGACACATTTTTGAATGTCATAAGTAGTTGCTTTTTTAATGTTGTCATTTAACTTTAACTTTGTTCCATCTAATTGCGGGAGTTCGGGCAAGACTTTACATTGGGACTTGTGGGCT